AGCATAGATACAGAACCTAGGTCCTTCTAAAGTAGGGCTTCTTAACCTTTTGTATCATGAACTACTTTTGCAATTGGTGAAGATTAAGCTAGGTGGCACAGTGGATAAAGTGTTAGCCCTGGAGTCAAGAAGACTCATCTTTCTGAGTTCAAATTTGGCCACAGACACTTACTAGCTGTGTGACCCTGGCAAGTCACTTAACCCTGATTGCCTCAGTTTCTTCATCTATAAAATGAGCTGGAGAAGGAAATGGCAAACCACTTCTGCATCTTTGCCAAGAAAATCCAAATAGGGTCACACACAGAGTTGACTGAAATGACTCTAACAACAACATAGACCCCTTCTCAGAATATTTAAATGTATCACATAAGGATTACAAATGAAATCAAAGATTAGTGAAATTAAAGAGGCATTTTTCCCCATCCCAAACCTCTCTGAGGTCTATCCACTGACTCCATAAACACCATGTTGAAAACCTCAGCTTTTTGTTTGTTTTGTTTCTTGCTTAGGCAATCAGAGTTAAGTGACTTGCCCAGGGTGACACAGCTAGTAAGTGTCAAGTGTCTGAAGCCAGATTTGAACTCAGGTCCTCCTGACTCCAAGGCCAGAGCTTTATCCAGTGTGCCACCTATCTGTCCCCAGAACACCAGCTTTAAAGTAAGGTGGTAAGGTTGGTATAGTTTGGGCACTCCCTAAGAGCTGACCTCTACTAAAAGGAGAGTTTTTGTGCAGAAATTCAGTTCAAGATCCTGGCCCAGGGTGTGTGTGTGTGTGGGGGGGTGGGAGTGGGGTAGGGGGGTATTTGCTGGCCAAACCCTTTGGATAAGGGATGAGATTGTCCTGATTTTTACAGGGTCTTTGGGACTGGAAATGATCAAATCCAGGATAGAACTTCCAGAAGAGGACTTCTCTAAAATCATAGCTATTCTTCTCAGCCTCTTCCCAGTTCAGACCCAGGAGAGGATGATTAATAGGAAAGGATTTGAAACCAAACCAAATAAATAACAACCAAAATTGTTAGAACAGCTTCCAGACATTGGTACCCCAGTCAGGGTCCAAAGATAACAACATTGAAAAGTCCCTCTCTTCATGCTACACAAATCCTTCAAACCATCCCTGAGCCAATCTTATTAAGAAAGGGCAGTCTGCCCTGGACTGTCACCAAAGAAGGAAAAGAGAAAATTCAAGGCACAGTAAAGAAGTGATACTATGAATCAGTGCCGGAGCCATGGGCAAGGTTTATGAGTGAACTTCTGTAACAAAGGCAGGTGCTACCTCAAGAAACAGGAAGAGCTGTGGGCTGAGTGCCCACAGAGATTAAAAATCACAGACAGGGCAGGAAAAAATGCTTAGAGTTGATGGGTCTTGGTAGAGCGTGGGGGGGGGGGTGGTAGTAGACCAGTTTATTAAAGAAGTCTCCAAGCACTGATTTTTCTGAGTAAACTTAAGTGAACTCCAATCCTATGGGAGTCCAAGGCCAATCATGGCTCCCCTCCATGACTGCAAGCATGTTGATGCCCCAGGGTTGTTTAACTATTCATCATGTCAGAACTTCTGTACCTTTCCCTCTTTCACACAGAAGGAAAAACAAAAGAAGCAAAAAAAAAAAGCAAGCCAAGGTAGAGAGGCAAAAAGATAGGACTGAAGAAAAAACAGTTGGAGAAGAATAAGTTGGACAGAGTGGAAAGTCATGGAATTGTAGGGAATTTGAATTCAACAAAGAGTCATTTGTACATACCTGGCATGCTCTAGAAGTCTCATGAAATAGCATTTCCCTTCAAGTTCATATTCTACTTGAGTATGGGAGGCATAGGACAGATACATAAAAACAGGGTAATGAGGCAAATTTTAAGCATTAACAAATACGAAGGATCAGAAAAGTTCCTAAAGCAGCCACTGACTCAGTGGATAAGGTGCTAGGCCTGGAGTAAAGAAGACCTGAGTTCCAATCTTGTCTCAGATAGTTACTAGCTTTATGACCCTGGCCAAGTCAATTAACCTCTATTTGCCTCAGTTTCTTCAACTGTAAAATGGTAACAACAGAACCTACCTCCCAAGGTGTGAGGATCAAATAAAAGTGTAAAGTGCTTAGCAAAGTGTCTAGCACACAGCAGGCACCACATAAGTGCTTATTCTTCCCCCTCCCCCCAGAAGGAGATATCTTTGTGGAGCTTCCAAGAAGAATGCTTTTTGTAAGTGGTAAAAATGAGAAGGAAATGGATGCCAGATATAGAGTGCAAGAATGTATATGGTAAGTAGAGTTACACAATGGTTGATAATCCAGTTTGGCTAGAGCACACAGTGTATGAGGAAAGATAAAGCAAAATTATGCTGTAAAGGCAGATTATAGAGGGCTTGAGATGTCAGAGGAGCAAGCTTCTATTTTATCCTAGAAGTGACAGGGAGACCCTGAAGGTTTTTGAACAAAGGAACACGGTGAAGTCTGGGTCTCAGGAAGATCATTTTGGCAGCTCATGTGTGTGTGGATAATGGATTGGAGGGGAAGATGATAGAGTGGAAACAGAGAGACAAGTTAGGAGGTTATTGCAAGAGGTTAGCTGACAAATAATGCTGTCTGAGCTAGTCTGGTATCTGTATTTGGTATAAGGGTACCAGAATTAACAAATGTTTAGTTGTGGGAGGTGAATAACAAGGAAGGGTCAGGAGTAAGTCCAAGGTTTCCAACCTTGATTATTAAGAGGATTCCAAAGTCATTGATAGTAACAGGGAAGTTTAGAAGAGGAGAGGGTTTAGGGAGGAAGATCTATCTAACTATCTATCTATCTATCTATCTATCTATCTATCTATCTATCTATCTATCTATCTATGCATTTTATATATCTATGTAGAAGGTGTCAAAATAGTCTTAAAACTGTGATTAAAATTTTGGAACAACATGTATATATGTGTATACACAGATGCATTGTTCACACACACTGAACTAATTTATAAAGAAGAGGAGTGGTCCAGAGGCAAGTAGGTGAAAGCCAGAAGACTTTGAACAAGAAGATAGCAATGATGGAATAAATATGAAAAGGAGAGAAGCTGCAGAGTGTTAGCTATATAGAGGAAGTCTAGAAGTGGCAGTGGGGAGCAAGAAATAGGTAGGCCCTCTGTCTCTTGTTCCATTACATGGCATAGCATAAGAGAAGAAACGACCCACTCTAGGGAACACAGCTTTTGTAGTGAGTCTAGCAATACTAGCAATGACAAAAGATGGGAAGAGTATGAGATGATATGATATAGGGTTAAGGGATGTTTGTTTAAAATAGAATGATTCGAGTGAGTAAAACAGAATCAGAGTACAGAAGAGGATTTTAAAAAACTGGAGAGGTGTAGATCTAAACTGGACAAGGATGCAAGTGTAAAAAGAGGTGGAGAGAGAGAGAGTGGGGTCTTGTCTCAGCAAATACTGGCTGAATGCCTGAGAAGGAGAAGATGGGAGTTTGCCACTTGTGGGAGAAGAGTACACCGAGCTGCCTAGGGCCTGTGCTCTCCAAGGGCCTGAGATGACTGTGTGGTCGGAGTTGGAGATCAGGTAGCTATAAAATATTCCTCCTAAATCTGGAATATAGTGTCGTGAAAATACAGCAGGTATAGGAAGAGCAGGCACAAACTTATAACCTAATGACAGTGAGACACACTTGTAAGGAAAATACATGGCCAAGGCAACTCACACCCCTGGTGCCAACAGGCCTCAATAGCTTTTTTATTCCATATGGAATCCTCAGGAAGCTAATGCCTAGGGTGTGAGTTGCAAGGCTGGGCTCCCAGGGTCTGCTTTCTTCTCCAACGTGATTCTTAATTGCCAAAGCTAAATGGCTCCCTTCTCTGCTGCCAGAGGTCCCTCTATTGGATATCATGTCCTCACTGGGGAAATCTGTGTCTGTGTCCCTCTGGAGAGTGTATCTGTGCTCCATGCAGGGTGTAGTGTCTCCTACTGGTCACATAACTGCCTTAAGGTGATATGTCTTGCAGGGGAGGAGAGAAGAGAGAAATCCTCTGCTTTTTCTATCAGAAGTGTCTACCTTCCTACATTGAGTGATAGCAAAAGTCAAAGCAAAGAGCAGAAATGGGGGATTATTCCTGGCCAGAATTTCCGTCTGAGAACATTTGTTATCTCAATGATAATATTAGTGCTGAAGACTGAGTCTCGTTTGGTTTGTTTATTTGTTTTTTCTGGTTTCAGCAAGCCTAGCAAGAGGACAACAGTGGTTACATTGTTAAAATGACAGAAAGAACAGGGATTAGTGTAACTGGAGCAAGAAACAGGGAATGAGGCCTCAAGGATTATGAGAAGCTAGGGGCTGGGGCAGAATTTTGCCCATTTTTCTACTGAATATGTTACACATTGATTATAAAGAAGCCAAAAGATTTAAGTATCAGGAATCACAGGATTTAAAACTTGAGGGACCTTGGAGATTATCTACTCCAATCTCATTTAAAAATGTATTGATGCCTTTTCTCATTATATTATAGTCATTTCTGAATATATCTCTCCCAGATCTCCTATCCCATAAACCATCATACCTTGTAACCAAAATTAAAAAAAGAGTGTAAAAAAGGAGTTGAAAAAAAAATCAACAAATAGAGGGCATATAATATTCCACATCCATGGTCTCCCACCTCAACAGTGGACAGAGAGATCACTTCCTCAACTCTTCTCTGTGGCCAAGTTTAGTCATTATACTTACACAATGTTCACTTTTGCTTTATTCCAACTTTTTGTTGGACAAGCAAGAAAATGTAGGATTAGCAAGAGGGATTGACTTCACCAAGGTAACGTAGGTAAGAAAACAGAAATTTAAGTCAGGTTCTCTGATTTCAAATCTGGCTCTCTTTCCACTATTCTCCTACTTTTTAATCAGCACAGAGGTACTTTTACTATAAAGAAGTGTTTTCCATCATTTCCTTTGTAACTAAGGAGCAAATTAAAGTGGAAAGGTAGGAACTGTGGGACCTGAGGAGGCCATAAAGCCAGGCCCCCACCATTCACTTACCTGAATATCTTATCTGAAGGCTGCTCTCCCAAAACCAAGTCAAATCCTCTCTGAAATATCGTGTAAGGCCAAGGCCTAGAAGAAGAAAAAAAAACCACAAACACAAACACAAACTGTTTGCTTTCACACAGCACTTGGAATCCCCAAATCCTTTAATGGAGTATAAACACAATCTATGTGCAAGTAACTCAGCCCACAACTCGTCTGGCCTTTAACTAACCTACTCGTGATAACCAGAAGCAAATGCACAGCAAAGCCCTGTGAATTTAGACCCAATAAATTCAGAAATCATGATAATTTGGTTGTGGGCTGGGCTAATGCTGACATTGAAAGTATTAAAATTATTGATTGGGGCAGGGTGGGAGGGAAGCTGCTAAGCAAAGGTACAGTAGAAACAGGATGGCAGAAGAATCCTTATCTATCTCCCAGGAAAAAAGTTTTCAATCACTTTTGCAGCTGCTATTCTCAGGAAAATAATTGATGATGTTAATTGGCCCACTGGCTAATGTGGAGAATATGAGGGTTAACCAACAGCTCTTTTACTCCATTGGTACCCATAGAATTCCAAGAAAATTGTAAAAACAGGAAGGCCCCCAGCATGAAGGGTAGATACTTTATGAAGGATCTGTAAGAGAATATGGACAAGAGTTGTGTGTATGTTAGCCTGTGATACCATGTCTTTACTCCTGTCTAGCCTGCACTCCTGACTCTTCTCTCAGACTTCCCTTACAATGCCTCCAACTCAGATATCTACATTCAGCTGGCCTCCATCACTTTCCTAACTTCCTTTTAGAAAGTAAGCTCCTTGAGGCCAGGGACTTTCTGTGTGTAGTTATATTGCCAGTAGCTAGGACAGAGCCTGACCTGTAATAAGTGCCTCATAAATCTTTGTTGATTTAGATCGACTATTGGAGAACAGGGACTGTCCTTTGCTGTTCTTTGTGTCCCCAGCACTTAGTACGGTACCTGGCACATATTAAGTGCTTAATAAATGCTTGTCAACTGACAGCTGATTGCACTGAAGAGAATGAGAAAACATAGGTGGTCCAGGATCTACACCTCAGGTGTCCAACTATTGGAGGGAATACCTGTATTGACAATATAATAAATCCATAGAAAAAAATGTACTTACAAACTCCCTTTATTGATTATTTCTTGAACAGACCGTCTATGTGGTAATATTTTATTAGCTTAATTCGTGTTCCCATACTTGAATGTAATAAATTTGTATTTTTTTCTAAAACAACCTCTATAACTTCTCATTAATCCAAACAGTGTGTCTGGTCTCTTTTCACTCTATCCCAATTGGTGAGAGTTTACGGTCCACAGGTTTTTATTTGTTTGTTTGTTTTGTTTTGTTTTGGTTTGGTTTTTGGTTTTTTTGTTTTTTTTCTTTTGGCAAAGGCAACTGCTATAATCTGAGCAGGCTAAGTAAATCACTTAGGTTCAACCCAACCTCAGCATTCAGTCCAATGAGTTATTCAAGCAACTACCTGGAGAGGGCACCCTTTGAGCTGTTAGCTGTGGCTTCTGTGAATGCACAACACTTTTCCCTCTTATGCGTGTATTTGCTATGCCCCTAGAATTCAATTTGGAACCCCTGAGAACAAGCAGAATTGACTCATAAACAATACTAATGCTACGAATAACCCCTATACCATGGGAAAAATTCCCTTCTCCTAATGTGTTTTTTTTTTCATCCTTTGTGTTAGTTCTGTCCCTTTTAGATGGTGAACCTGCCAAGCAGGGTTCGCATCCAATTCTCTTTGCTGAGCCGAGCCTAATGCATTGCAGGTACTCAATAAATGTCTGGTATGATTCATAGTCAGGTCTAGAAATGAGAAGGAAAAATGCCAGTCTGCTCATCTGAATCCTAGAAAACAATGGTCAAATGGAGCAGGTCAGGTTGTGCCTATGGTAGGCAAGATCTCACTTTGATGATGGTTAACACTTTCAAGAGTAACACACTGGGTTTGGGCTTTCAGGTTGCCAAAATTACACTCATTCAAGTTAATTCCTAGGATAGATGTCATTAAAACTAATTGTTGTGTTGTCTGCTATGGTATTTCATTTGGGGGAGTAAATCTCAGAGTTGATATGTAATCTAAGGCTTAGAATTGAAAGTCTGGGTTTACAAGGCTCATGTTCAATGTTGGGGGGCTTTTTACACACATACACACACAATCTCTTCTGTTCATGACCCCAGAGTGATGTTTCCCCTGGGAAAACTAGAGTTTGGCTAATGTTTAGGAGACTTTGGGTGCCATGCAAGTGCTCAGGCTAACAATACATAGTACCTGACAGAAGGGAAGTGGAAGAAATTAATTATTCATATAGAACCTACTATGTGCCAGGCCACTTTACAAACATTATTTCATCTGTAAAAAAAAGTCCATTAGCACAAACACAAAAATCTCATTACGAAGCCCATAAAAACAATGAAGCCAATTCTCTTCTTTTCTCTGGTGGGTCTCCAAGGGCTATCCAAAGTTTGAGCACTCCCTGAAAGAGGGCAGCACTCAGGGTCAATATTCAGTCTACCTCCTTTCCCTCTGGTGAGCTCTGTCTTCCCAGGGACTTGACGATGCATTTCCTAACTTAGAATACTAGCTGAGGGCACTCTTAGTGTTGCTAAATAGTCAAATAACCTTTCCTTTTGATGAAATCCACGCTCCTCTAGGGACCTATACTGTTCTACCCTGGCTGCTCAATTAGCATGGAGAACAAACTTGCGTTTGAAATAGTCAGCCTTCTCCCCCTCCCTCCAAGAAAACAACTAAAGTAAACCACACTGAATACTATAGAATATACAACTCCCAATATTAGTGAGGAGCCAGGTCTGGATTTGCCTCTCCATATGATGGCTGTGACCCTTGCTATGCCTCAGTTCCTCTTGTCCAGGAATTCCTCTCACTGTCACTGTCTCCTGCTGTTGCACTTTCTGAGGCCATGTGCCTCCTTCTTCATATGGGTCACCTGGCTCCATGGAGGGGCCTCACACAGGGCAAGGTTACCTTTCCACTGGCACCATGTCTAAGCACCCACAACACACCTCATCTCTTTTTTTTGCTCCTCAGCTCTGTTTCTCTCCTCTAACTATCCCATGTAGAGGCCTAGTCCAGAGGTAAAGCTCAGGGACTCCCAAAGTAGCAGTAAATACATCATCCTTAATGTACTGTCAATGGACCAAAGACTACCCAAGGCAAGTGTAGTTTACATGACATGATCAATGACAGAATAATGTCTTAAATGTGGTGCCCATGGGGATATTCAGACCTTGAAGAGGGAGATATCTTCAATGCCCAGCTAAGGATTCATATCCCCTAATCCTGTTAAACTTGTTAACAGTGAGTTAACTTTGATCAGCCTCTTCCTAGCTGCATCTTCTACAGGAGTAAATCACACTGCCCAAAGTGTAATTGTTAACGATGATGATAAAAATAAACATCTAGGAAAGGCAATGGTAAATCAGTCAATTAAGACGTGCCTATTAAACACTGATCTGCATGCTGCCTCATTAAAGTTCCTGTGTAGATCAAGATAGATATGGTCCTCGCCTTTGGGGAGCTCACAATCTAAGAAAGACAACTGAGACCCAGACATAAAAGAGCTAAAGAAAGCTCTAAGAGGCTAGGAAGAATAAACCCTCAACAACCTCACAGATTTGCTAATTAAATGAACCAAAAATAAATAAATACCCTATTAACAGTTACAAGGGAAGAGATAAAAGCAAGTGGGGTGACAGATAAATGAGAGACCTGAGAGTCTCATGTTTACATAGCAAAGGAAGGGGCAGGCCAAGAGAGCAATTCACCACCCCCTTCCCACTGATCATGGGATGTTTTGTGGAGGAAGCAGGGCTACACTGCTATAGCTGCTTAAATGAAAGTAGGAAGAAATCCAACCTTATGATTATATTAGCAGATGGAGGAAAATGCCCCTGATAAAGTACAATACTCATTTATACTCCCTTAAAATGCATAGTAATAGAAAGATCTCCTTGTAAATAACATATAAAGTATCTATCTGAAACAAAAAGTTCACATTATATGCAAATTGGAAGCAATAGAAGCTTTAAAGTAAATGCTTCTGTAAATCAAGGCTGACCCCTTTCCTTACTGTTATTTCACATAAATCTAGAAATGCTAACAATAGTGATCAGACAAGATAAATAAATTAAAGGCCTTAAGATAGGCAAAAAAGATAAAATTATCCTATTTGCTTAAGACATGATGGTTTACTTAGAAAATTCTAGAAAATCAACAAAGAAATTGAGACAATTAATAGCTTCATTAAAGAAACAGGATACAAAAGAGCCACAAAATCAAACATTTTTCAATAAAATAATACTATAAACCAGGATAGATGGGGAAGAAAGTCCCATTCAAAATAAGGATAAAAGAAAAAAACAAAAAATCTAGGATTCATTGTACCACAGCACATTCAAGATGTGTGTATGCGCATTTATGTGTGTATGTATGCATACAGAGATATACATATTGGCATCTCTCTCTATCTCTGTGTATACACACATATACTATATATATATATATATACACACACACACACACACATACACACACTATATACATATATACATATATGTATATATTCATATTTCATATATGTGTGTTTATACATACATATACATACATACATATATAAACGCTGACAAAGTATCCCCTAAAGGAACAATAAATCAAATAAATGGAGGCATATTCAATACTTATGGCCAGGCCATCCCAAAATAATAAAAATTATGATAATACATAAAATACAAGAGTCAGTGTAGTACAGTGGGTAGAGACCTAGATTTGGGATCAGGAAGACCTGAGTTCAAGTCTCAATTCTGACACATACTGGCAACATAACCTTGGGCAAGTCTCATGACCACTCAGTATTCTAAACCAGAGATGTCAAACATAGTTGACAGGTACAAAACTCCCAAGTGAAGCTCAAATCAGATTAAAATGTAACTGGGAAATTTTTAATAAAATAAAATATAACACAGATAATGTTAATTTGTGGCTTTCTAAGTCAATATATGACTAATAGGAATCTGTTTCTATTTGCGC